GCTATTCGGAGCGGTACTCTAGCAGCTGCCTATATCTGACTGGCTAAAGAGGAAAAGAAAAAGGAAGGTCCAAAGGTTGCGAAAATCGTGAGGCGGGACTTTGCAAATGGTGGCCTCCATAGACATGGCTAGTTTGATTTGGCACACACTCAGATCGTTGGGATCGTATTGTGTTGGTTTGTCGGTGACCGATTCAGCACTTTAGTACAATGACGAAACAAAGAATAAGGGTGCCCAATACTAAGGATATGAATTAACCGTTTCTTTTTCCCATGAGCCTGGTCATTGGATAGATCGTTTGACCGCTGGTCATTCATATGCGTTGGGACAGATTTCCGGGGCTCCGGTTCGAGGGATGAGAAAGGAGAATTGCAAAAAAAAAGCGTCTGGAAGAGGTTTCCTTACCAAACAAATCAATGAGCATTACGATCCCTAGCGGATGTGATCGCGGTTGCCTTATCTTCCCGCGTCTTCTTCTTCCGTCCCAGCCTACCAAATGTGCGTGATGACTGGCGACGCCTATCACGCGAAGCGGGAGAGCGGGTGTGACAGAAGTTGCATGAGAAGAGAGTAGAGTTTGAGTGTACTCCGTACATCCATTGAGCTACTCCACGCAGTCAGTGCGGATCTCCGCGGACTGGGGGAAAGCCGTCAGGTGTACGGACGTAGCTCTGCACGCCTTTCTCGGTGGGCATCCCGTCAGTACCGATTCTTTGGTAGTGCCAGCTACCCCGCATTTCGGAATGCAACGACAAGTGATGCAATCTTCGAACTGGACGTGTGTGGCTGCCTGTTCCCCGTGAGATACTGATACAGCCTACATATTATCATATCAACTACTCAATAAAATATCCGTAAAGGGGAAAATGGATGGTTGTGTACGCAAACATCAAGGTAATATCGGCCCAGGGACTCAATTTATCACCTTGGGTGCGCACATCTCACCAGTGAATTACAGATGAAGATGGGTTTGTGTTCCGAATTTTTGTATAGTTCGTATAATTCTAGGGTGATGTCATCTCATCATTTGCTCTTTTCACGTGCCTAATTAGGTTCCAGCTCGCCCCGGCTTCAGGTCACTGGAATAGGAAGTCTGTCCCATAGGTACTATGGGGGAACTTGGCGGTGTTATGTAGATAGCCTGCATTTTTGCGCCTGCAAGTCCGAACTGAGTGATAGGGTATCCAATTCTGAAGTGTGTCCGGCATCTTTAAAATCATTCGCCTGACTCTAGCATCTATCGACCTGCGTGTACTCAGTATATACATTTGGATCAAGATGTAGAGAAGTCAGCCCGCATGGCGGGATAAGCACTTTGATGTCGAAGTTCTTCGATGACGTAGACTTACGAGATTACCTTTAAACGGGTTATTCTCAAAACCTCCACTTCACAGCATGTCTTGGAGGCTGGGATCCTTAGTCTTAAAACGAAGGGCGAGATAGGAGACTGATCAACATGAGCGAAAGGTGGCGAGGTATCTGTTCCATGATGATATGTCAGCATATGTCACTATTAAATATCAACAATATGTAAACCATTAGAACTACCACCCATTGTAGGAGACAAGGTAACCCTATATTAGCTTAATATCGTGATAAATGGCGCTTAAATAGCGATAAGAATAATCTACTGGCAAATGCTAGACTTAAAATGAACAAAAAATGTGCCCTCTCTCGTGGCGCGTAAACGCAATGAAACATAGTTTAGAAGTATCGAGACAGACCTTTATCCCAACATATGTTTGAACAAAGACCAATGTATATTTTTGGCCATCGCAGATCGCCGCAAAATAGCAGGGCTTGAAATTAAAAAAAAAAAAAAAAAAAAAAAAAGAAGAATCTTCCAATGTTGATGATCTACTGACATGATGCTCTCTTGTGTCTTGCATTAATCTCTCTTCATCTCTCAAGCCTGTCTACATCCCTCATGTAAATACGTGGCTTGGAATCGTAAAAGCACAAACTTAAATTGAAGATGCTGGAGCCCATATTCATCAGCAACGCCTCCTGCCTCCGAGCTACCCATCATATGCAAGAATGAAACTAAAACGCCACCAGCACTACAATTCTCAGCCATATAAATGAAGACTACCTATTATGGCGGTTGTCACGCTAGTGAGTAAATCTGGGTCGCAGGTATGTTGAATGAAGCACATGCTAAGGACGATCACTGCTGTTCGTTTTAGGCTCCATTGAGAGATGAGAGATAGATACCCTCGGTACGGGGGACAACATCGACAACATCCTTGTGGCTATCTCGTGGTTCCTTACGCAAGTGGCTTGCTTCGCCTCACCACATGTCTATTTGCCTCATCAACAGTCAAGGTACCTCTTCAATGCAGAAGCGCCAAGTCACATGCAAACCTAATTATCCTCCGGGCTTGATATGAGCTAAAGGTTGAGGAAACATCGGTACTTAGAAGTAGATTGACTATTTGAATACTAAGCTCCTTAATCTCAATCCCGCCAATATCTCTGAAGGATGAACATTTCAAACTGAATTGAGATAATAGTTGCGTAAGGTGGCGCAAGTCTGGTAGTACACATCGGATAATGAGCTCGAGTCGAACGACTCAGCTGAATTATCATAGACTCTTCACACCAACCTGCGGGGTGTGATGAATTTGGTCAATTATCCAAAGTACACTAGACGTATTGCCAATCCGGTCAGATAGCTTTATAACTAAGCATTATCTGTATCATATCAGTGAGGAATATTGACGAGAGAAGGCAAGTGACGGTTTAATTGATCGACAGAAATTTCCACACGATCAATCCTCCTTGTTTGGCTGAGCCACGTTTCCATGGTCGTATGTATGGCTAGCGAATTACTCAGTAGGAATCAATTTCAGGTTCGACCACTGGCTCTATCTACCAATTATCGAGGCTCATGGGATGGATGAGAACATATTACTAAACAAACATACATCCATCAGCAGTCGTTCCGGAGTTCTGCGCAGCTTTGCATAATTGAACTTTCTGGTCTCATTGGTAGCTCACACGCACCTGGACAGACGATCCGCTGCAACATTCTCTCCATCACCGATCGGCTATCCTTTCGGGAGGGATTCCCACCAGTGTGTTTCTTTGCTCACTTTTCTTCTCCCATCTGAAAACTGTCGGTCAAGATAGCTCGTAGAAAACTAGGCGTGCTACTAGCGCGATCCGAAAACTCTCCGAGCCCCGGAAAAGTTTTGGAAGGTCGTCTTGGATTGGGGGCTGGAAATGCAAGCCACGATGATTATAGGCCCTTTACCCCCTGGCGCTGATACAGACATGGGTGTCAATTTGATTGGCATGTACTCCTAATGTACTCCGTATTCTGGGCAACTTGAATATTTAATTACGAGACACAAATAATGTAAACGGCGTAAAACCAAAACAAATCGAGATGAGGCCTATTGGAAACACATCACCCAGTCGCGTGGTTGTGATTTGTCGCCTCGGTCGATTTATCAAATCCCTTTGCTAGCCGGCCCTATCAAGGAGGGAGCGCCACCAGAGTCTTCGGCTGATACGCTCACCTCCTTACCGATGGCGATAGTCCACTCAGTGTGTTACCGCAACGGTCAACATGTCCGTCCATTTCACATCAGGGTAGATGCGAGCAGATCAAAAGAGATAGTCGCCCGAAAAGATATTCAGACGAATGAGAGGTTACTGTACCTGAGAAAGAGATCATAATTCCTAAACTCCCAGATTAGGTTGGGCCTGAACTACTGTACATGCTACACTGCTTGCGAAAGCTGCCTAAAGAGACAGGTGTGTCTATGGCATCATAATAATGTTGCGACCATCTTCTGAGCCGATTCATGAGTACGCAGGGTCTGCTCTATGATCACTATTGATTTGATTGCACGGTAGTACTTGATTCGAATGGTCGACTGTCATCGACGGTCTGATTCGGACGGACACGTCTTCCTAGCGCATGCCTTTTTACTTACATCGGCCAGAATCCCGCCGCTAGTTAGTAAACCAAAATAAGAGAACGTCTTTAATAATGTGTCAAAGGCCGATCCTTATACCCGATCGTAAATATTCGAGCGGAATTTTTTCCCAAACTGCACTTTACTATCATGGGATGGATAGTGGGAAAATGTAATTGAAAGAATAGTAACTCCTCTGTGCCTATTCTCCAGCGCCTCCCATCCAGCCATTCAGCTATTTTGGTGTTATCTCCGCAGTCAATCGGCCACAAAAAATGCACTATGACGTCTAACGGGGCGTCTTCACGGGCGTATTTTCCTTCATTTCCTGCAGGCCTCGACGGAGTTGACTAACCTCAAACTCCCATTCCAAGACACCTCTTTTCTCCATACGACGCCACCACACCTGCACTGCCGGGTCGGCACTCGGGAAGCATGCACGTCGCAGTTTCATATGGATGCGGAAAAGTGGGCAGGGGGCGTGGAGAGTGTTGGGTGGGGAAGATATGGGATGTGCCTGGGGTTCTAGTGCACTGGGCATAGGGATCAAAGTCATTCTTGCAAGTCCTTGCTCAACATGTTAGGAAAGTCACTCGCGAGACTCCAATCTTTTCGTTCATTCCTTGCGAGCGTTACGGCGAAACTAAGACATTGCTATTACCCAATACTGCATCTGGCCATTCATAAGATTTAAGCGAACCTGAGAATGTCACCTTGCCAATGCACATAGCCAGTCCCTCGGTTACTAGCCCCCCCGGTCAATAGCAGACAGCCCTATAGATATGGCGAACAACAGAACCAATTGGAACAAATAATCCCGCACCCGAGAGCTGCTTCCATCCCATCGGTCTCGTGTCAAGCCTAGTCTTAACTGTAATTATGATTCATGTTCCTTTTTATGCCTCGAATCCGAGGTCTAGACTCGGGGATCCAGAATGAAAGCCTCATCTATGGTCACCATCAACCCCTCGCGTCCAGGTCATTTGACCGGATCGAACGGGTTAGGCGTTTTCTATTAACTACAGCTAAGCACGGCTCAGCATGGTGAGAATGGAGGTTGGTATAGCCGTGGCGGCACGACGACGTAACTTCTCATCTAGCCAGGGCTATCCTGAACAACAAGGTTTTGCTAGTCATCTGCCTCAATTCGCAACAAGCAGGAAACATCAGCCTAGGGTCATCACGCGGCATTTGAATTCGATTAGACCGTAAGTTGTCCCTTGCAAGGCTGGGCATCGCAGGACTGGATGGTCATCTCGAAATCATCCAATTATATGCTACATTCATGTCTATACCCATGTCGCATAATATACCGATTCACATACTCAAAGTCTAATCCAAACCCAATCCAAAAACAAAGCCCAGTATTTGCAATCCAGTTTACCAACTCGTCAAACCCCGTTCCCGATCGAACCCACCCCGCAATTGCTTCCCCGGCTTAAGCACCTTGCCCTGCAGCACGGTATACCGGATGATATTCTCGCATTCTTCCGGCCGCACACGCGCCAGCCAGATACCCTGGACCGCACCCTCGTCGTCCTCGCTGCCGTCTGCACCATCCTTCTTGTACCAGTCGAAATCGCGCCGCCGGTAGACAATCACATTCGCGGAGTACTTGTGACCACCAACGTGGCTGATGAAGTAGATGCCCACGCCACCGGGTCGCGTATCGTTCATGTCGCGATACAGGCCTAGCGGACGCAAGTGGCGCTCGAATTCGCGCCGGAGAAGAGGCGCGGACTGGCCACAGCGGGCGTCGCGGGTGCGCTGGGAGCAGAGGAGGATGACGGCGGCATGGGGGCAGGGATGTGAACGGAGCGGGGTCACCACGGATGTGCTGGCTGGGTGTGGTGGCTGCTGTTCCTGGTCTTGACCCTGAGGGCGAGATGACTCCTCCTCACTGGGGCCTGCTGGCGAGGCGCCCAGGGGTGTCGTCGTCGTCAATGACTTGTTGACAAAGTTCTCGATCAAGTCCGGGACCAGTTGCGGGGTGACTTGTTCCACGATCGTAAAGCTGGGGAGGAGAAGCACATCGGTGGGCTGTTTGCCCGTCTCATGCATGTGGTATTCATCGGGAACGGGCATGTTTGATGCTGACAACTTGAGTCTCTAGAAGAATATGCGCCATGTGAGTGGTGGACTTCGAGATACCGGGGAAGAACACAGAGAGGGGGGAGACAAAAGATGATCGTAGTAGATTGGTCTTACCCCGTTGCTCGGTTCGATTCCTCCTTTCTCAATGGCCTCCATGACACTGCCCACCTCGTCTGCTACGTCGCGTACCCAATCCGACTTGCCAGTAGCAACCAGCAGGTGCGTCGCCCAGCCCTTGACTTGTCCATAGAGTTCATCCTCTTGATCAACGTCGAATTTGGCGGGGTATTTTACGGTACACGAGGCGCAGTCATGCAAGCATTCGTCGCCATCGACTGCAGGGTCTGCCTTCTGAAACAGCTTATCCGATTCTGAGATAGACTTGAATCCCTTCTCAGCCCGCGCATTGTCCCCCACTAAATCGGTATCGGTGTCGGTCTTCGAGGATGCGAGCGAAACGTTGGAGGAGCTAAAGAGCGAAGAGGCGCCCCGGCGGAAGAGTTGCATTGTGATGACAGGCGGGAGTGGATAATAGGGGCACTACGCCCGTAGTAATTTGTGATTGGAAATATGTAAGTGGTAGGTGGTCAATTTGTTCTTGATCAAATTCTGTCGCTATGACGCGTACCTGACCGTACTTGCAATGATCTTATCAATCAAATTGCATTTCGGCCAAGAATCGGAGCTCATTCCGCCTGACTAAGCCCCCACTGGGGCCGAGACTGGTAATCCGTAGGATTTCCAATCGATACTTCTTTTCATTTACAATTGATGAAGGGGTGGGGGAGCGCCATTGAGACTTGTAATTCATACGGTGTAGTGGGCAGAGTTTGGTGGATCCCACAGACTTCATCTGTCTCTATACGAATCTATAATTCCGAGTGGGCCAGCATAACGAGATAGCTATACCTAGATACCTACATGCCTGTGGAGATGTCGGTATCACTTTCTAGGGCTATCAAGGAGCTGTATTTTGTGATGTTTGAAGCTACATGCATCAATATGAGAAGAAGAAGGCACCGAAATCATGACATGTGTCTGTTTTTAACAACTTTGTAAGCTGATTTAGTTTTATCCTTGGTTCTAGAAGGTCTTGACGAAATGAGTTAGAAGCAATCAATGACGAAGAAGAAGACAAAAAAAAGTCTACCAACTTCATCACTAGAAATTGGAGTTCATGAGGTCTTGGTAATGTTAAGACGATGGCGATGTCTTGATGGGCGCAACACAATCTACCGAGTCGAACCGAATAGACGGTCACGTGCTGAGAGCTTCTTAGTACTAGATGAGAATTCTGTCCTGACGTCGGCTACCGTGATCGAAATAAAACAAAAACTCGAGTCTCCTAGTTTTGGTATCTTTCACATCTCCCTTCAAGCTCAATCTCGAGCATCACCCCAGAAGTTGATCCACATGGCGGCTGTAGATCCACTACTATTCAGGAACCGCAATCATCACATGATCCCCCCGGAGCCACCAAAAAAAAGTAAAAGAAAAACAGCGAGACAGTACACTCAGCTTCAGAAAGGGGGTAAAGAGTCATGGCCGATAGCAAAGCTCCTCGAGAGCCACAGGAGCTTTACATCTTGGTGACTGGTGCAAACAGGTACGCTACTGTCAGAAAACATAAACCCTTGCCCGCGGGGTTCCATCATGAAGAAAGGAGAGCCTCAGACTAATAACGTACACTTCCCCCCAGCGGTCTTGGCTTTTCGATATGCTGTCGCCTCGCCGATGAATTCCTTTCTTCGCACCACTATGACGACTCGCTCACGATCATCTTTACCACCCGGAGTGCACGCAAAGCGGAGGATACCCGCCGTCGCCTGGAAGATCACCTACAATCCTCCTGTACCTCCACCTCGTCCAACGCCGCACGGGTGAAGTTCGTCTCCGAGAGCGTCGACCTAGGAGATCTCCTCTCTGCACGCGCCCTCTCCCGCCGACTCCTACAGACAATCCCCAAACTGGATGCGACCATCCTGAATGCCGGAATTGGGGGTTGGTCGGGAATTGGCTGGCCCGAGGCTATCTGGGGTTGCTGCACCGATCTCCTCCACCAGGTGACATGGCCGACATACAAGCTAGCGCCCGTGGGAGTCTTGACGGGTAGACAGACGGAGGAGGAGGAGGAGCCAGCACTGGGAGCCGTGTTTTGCGCAAACGTGTTTGGGCATTACATGCTGGCGCATAACGTGGCACCGCTCCTGAAGAAGGCCAAATCTCCTAACGGACCAGGTCGTATCGTCTGGGTGTCCAGTATCGAGGCGACCATCAAGTTTTTCGACGTCGATGATATTCAGGCTCTACGGAACAAGAACCCCTACGAGTCCTCCAAGGCCCTAACCGACATTCTGGCCCTGACTTCCGATCAGCCCTATACCGCCCCGTGGGCCGTGGATAGCTTCCTGCGGTCCAACGACGAGACCGAAGAAAAGAATCAGGTCACCGAGGAAACTACTCCAACCACGTATCTCTCCCATCCCGGTATCTGCGCAACCTCCATCGTCCCGCTTCCGCTCCCGCTGGTCTGGGCGATGGTGGCTGCTTTTTGGATTGCGCGTATGCTCGGCTCCCCCTGGCACACTATGTCCACCTATCTCGGCGCCTGGTCCCCGGTGTTCCTCGCGCTGTCCTCGCAAGGCGCACTCGACGCCGCCGAATCTCCGTACCGTCAGTCTGGCGGTGGCCGGGTGAAGTGGGGATCCTCTGCGAACCGGTTAGGCGTCGGAAGTGTGTGCAGTACCGAGATCGATGGATGGGGACACGGTGGTGTCGTCGGAACGCCTCCTGTTGAGGCTGACCGGAACCGTCTACGGAAGCGCGGCGCTATTGATTTGACTGGTGAGGCTAAGGAGAATTTTGAGGAGCTTGGTCGTCAGTGTTGGAAGCAGATGGAGGAGCTGCGAATTAAATGGGATGCCATCCTGGATCGAGCTGAGAAGGACAAGTCTGTGGCTGTGGCTGCGGCTGACACTGAGACTGCTCAGTGAGTCTAAGACAATACGCGGGAGTCTGGGGCTAATCTGGACATTGTCAGCCTCGGCTCGCATACATTCATCTTCATGCTTCATGCCATGATCCGATTGCTGGACAACTATCATCTGTAGACACTCATAAACGACATGTACACAATACTCTAATCCAATAATACCTTACAAAATCATTTGTACCGAGTAACTGCAATAGCAATTGGATTTGCATCTTTCTTTTTAAGGTTTCGTGTCCCAATTATTTACATCTGCAAAACCCGCCCCGCGCCCATGATATCATTAAAACAGGTAGAGCATGATTTTCTTTGCCCGCCATTTTCCGAAAGAGAACAAACAGCAACAAAAACAATAGAAAGCGCAAAAGGGAGCGGGGATGTAGACAGATAAGGAGCAGAGCTTGGACGACTGCAACTGTAATAGATGGTTGAAAAGGGAGAAGAGCTCTGACGCAAACAAGAGACTAAAAAGGGATAATTGTCGCAAATAGCCGAAGAGAATCGTGCATCTCCACCATCTAGGTTTTGGGATGATATCGATTATCGGGGAGATACGAATAGAAAGGGGGTTAAAAGAAAAAGTCTGCGAACGCAATAGCGGGAGCAGATCACGCAGAAAACGACTCCGGATCCATGCATCAAGACAGGGAGGAAGGAAGGTATCGGGAAGACGAGGAGAGGTGAGTGAGGGACGTGTCGACGTGAGGGGTAAAGGAAAGGAGATTACATGATAATCGCGGGAACTATTGAGAAACTGTTAGCTTACTTGAAACCACTTCCTGAATATGACAAGGCAATAGGCTTACCATCAATGTTCTGCTTGATGCTCTTGTGTGGCAGGATAGAGCCACCGTTGACGTATACCTCATCAGCAATGGTCACGTCGTCACCCAGGACAGTGACGTTCTCCAGACGAGCCCAGCGGCCGACGGAGCTGTTCCATCCAACGATGGTAGACTTGATCCAGGCGTGGTCCTTGACCTTGGAGTTCTCCATCACGACACAACGCTGGAGGCGGACACCGTCACCAATGACGACGTTGGGGCCGATGACCACATTGGGGCCAATACGGCAGTTGTTTCCAATCTTCGCCGAGGGGTCAACCATAACGTTGCCGCCGTGGACGTAAGGTTCAGAGTTTGAAGCCAGCTTCTTCGAGTTGCGCTTGGCCAGGGAGGTGAGGTACAGGCAGGTACCGGTGAGGAAATCCTTGGGCTGACCAACGTCCATCCAGAAGCCCTCGAGGTCGAAAGAGTGGAGCTGGCCATCCTTGCAGATTGCGGGGAATGTCTCCTGCTCGATGGAGGTCGGGCGAAGTTCGATGCGCTTGAGGACGCTGGGGTTCATGATGTAGATACCGGCGTTGATCCGGTTGCCAACGAACTCGACGGGTTTCTCGACGAAGCGGTCAATGCGCGAGGGGTGATTAGGCTTGTGGACGACGACACCGTACTTGGAGGGCTCGTCGACCTTGGTGACGACGATGGTACCCTCCTGACCGTGGGAGCGGTGGAACTCGGCGAGCTCCTTGAAGGGGTAGTCGCAAATAACATCGGAGTTGAGGACGAAGAAAGGCGAGTCGTCCTTGGCCAGGATCTTCTCGGCCAGCTTCAGCGGGCCAGCGGTGCCCAGAGGTTCCGACTCGACGGAGAACTCAATGCGAACATTATATTGCTCCTCGTACTTCTTCAGGGCGGAGACCATCACATCGGGGCGGTAGTTGACAGCCAAGACAATATCGGTGACACCGGCAGCAGCCAAGCTCTCGACCTGGTGCAGAATCATGGGGCGATTGCCGAACTCCACCAGCGGCTTAGGGAGGGTGAGGGTCTAGACAATCGATAGTCAGTCATTGCGAGCCGAGAAAAAAGGAGCAAAAGCAACTCCAACGGCTATCGGTCCACCGTTGAAGTATTTTATAGCTCCATTGAGGGATAATAGCTCGATAGCAACGCACCAAAGGACGCAGACGCGTGCCGAAGCCTCCGACGAGAATGAGAGCTGCGGCGGTCAGTCAGTACGGGACGGGGTGAGGGGGGGAGACATGCACGGGAGGCATGGAGGGGGGGGGTTCCATATGGTTCACATACCCTTCATTGTGGATGTATGTGGAGGATAAGATTGAAAATGATGAGCAAGGACAAAAGAACAAGAAGATAGCTTTCGAGGAGATCAGTGATCTCGATGAGGAGGTTCAGGGAGAGGAATCATTATTTAGGGAACACCTGGCCGTTGATGGATTTATTTTTATCAGGAGGAAGAGTGGGGCACGTGAGAGGCCCGATGATTGGCGGCGAGGGGCACGTTTGCGGCCACGGGAAAAAGGGGGCGCCCATTTCAAGATTCACGATTCAACCATTTCATCCAATTCACCCACGGGATGTCTGTTCATCTACTATTCCGGCTCAACCTGGAAACAAATCCATTGACATGATTCGCACTCTTCAATTGCCCTCTCAATTCCATCCTTGAATCTCTCCCTCTCCCTCCTCGGTATGGTGGGAATCGGTCTCGCCTTGGGTCACACTGGACCGGGCTAGCCCCAGCCCATCCCGGCCGATGCACCCAGTGCCACCGCCTTTGACTGGATCGGGGCCACCGAGATAGCTTCCCCGCGAACTAAAACCTCCCCGTGCGCACTTTGCTTCTGATCATCAGTCATGCGATGTCGCCCCCTGAAGGTGTCGCGCCCTGAAGGGTGGCGGATACCATCTTGTCTGTTGCTGCAGTCAGGTCTTTATTGATGGTCGGTTGCGGTCGGCTGGCGCGTGGAGAGCGCGAGAGAGAATTAGAATTCAGGTCAGATGGGAAGTCTCCCCATTCGTCGCACTATTATGACCCTCCTTCATCTGCCTGAGACAGTTCCCAATTGCGGCTGCCCCATCCACAGGTCCACACATGCTTTGTATTTTCTTATGCTTCTCCAGCCCCTCCCCCCCCTTCATTGAGTGTCCGGGGGCAGCCGCTGATGGCCACGTTGTGTCCGAGACATTCCTGATGGGCCACCGCCTGCTTCATCCGTTGCTCCCACAAATTGGAGAACCCATTTGCGAACTCGGCGAGTTTTCTGCAACGGAAGATCAGCCTCATCCGGGGAGCTATCCCATCGCAAATCACCCTTGTAGAATCCAGCCGTATCCGTCGCGTCCACTGGTTGCCGATGTAGCAATTCGACTCTGGTCATTCTTCCCCGCAGACTTTGTCCGTAGACCTGATCCCGGAATGAACTGAGCCCGACAGTGGAGAGCAAGATGATGTCTCGTGGACGGAGCATGGCCAGTGAACGGCCGAGTCGATCTGCGTCTTGGGTCTTGCAGGAGATGGACTTTTGGGCTGGAATCCAGAAATTGACCCCAAAGCCTGTCCGGGTCTCGTCGGCGACTATCAGCTCAATGATGTCAAGCTCGGTCTTCCATCGTCGTGTCACCACGCGACGGGGTGGGTGGATCGCAATGATCCCCACGATCAAGTTGACCGTCATTGTCTGCGGTGTGATGGACTGGAGATATCCTGCTGTAGGAAGGTCTTGCAGATCGCGAATCGGGCCAGAGATTCGTAGAGACCGAGGTTCCTCATCGTCGTTTACTTCGGCTGCCGTCCTTGTGGAGGCTGCATCTATACAAGAGAGCGGACCTCCGCTCTCCTGTGTAGATTCTTCATCTCGCAGTCCCGAGACAAATATCTCCGATGTTTCATGGATGACAAATGAATGATCATAAAACTCCGAGAGGATCGAGTCCTCGTTCATCGATTCACCATCAGCTTCCACCAGCTGGGCTGCCGTCAAAAAGCTTGGATTCTCTTGTCCATGGTAGAATTCAAAGTAGCTGGCGGGATGCTCTATGTGAAGCGGTTGGAGAACTCTCCATTTCACGGGATCTCCACTTTGAATGATCGATACCTCATGCTGGTGGATGTCTGTGCCTTGAAATGGTTGTATAGCGCCGTTGAGTAGTTCATCGTTATCCCAGTCCAGGCTGCTAGGCAATGGTGCACCCATTAAGAAGATCGTCTTGAGCACCATCTCGCTGGAAGCCGAGCTAACCGGCTCATCTGCCTGACCGATTCCTGGTTTGATCGAGGCTTCCCACCAGTTTGTCCCATGGTTTTGGAATAAAGATCGTTCACTCGGTGGTTCGTATCAGACGAGGTCAACTCACGATGATGTAGATGAGGGCATTACGGATTTATGAGAGCTGGATTCGAGCCTCTGTCTTGGGTGACCACGACTGAATCCTGATGTATCAAGACTAAGGTGATATCGTGGGTAGTTGGAGGTGGAAAGAAAAAGAGCCGTGGTAACCACAGAAACTCGGCCCAGGCCCGAACCGTGGATGGTCATGGAAGATGGCAGGTACTGAGAGGGCTCTTGGATATTATTTCACCGAGACTCTGGGTGAAGACACCCAACTCACAGTTCACTACATGTCAAAACTGCTTGACAGATTCTCTACCTACTTTGTGGAAACAAACATTTGCTCGAAAACCTTTACCGATTTGTGTATAAGCTTACCTATCAACCTCCTACTGTCGGACTGAGTGATGCCCCCCAATGGAGGATCCCACGTGACCCTACGGTTACTCACGCGGGCCCGAGTGGCAACCGACATTCGCCGCAGCCCCAGCGGAGTAAAAGCCATCGTCACCGTTCAACCCCCCTCGTCTCCGCATCTTCACTGTCGGCCATGGCAGTTGTTTCGAATAACAACTAAATCCCTTCTGTTCTTCCTTGGTCAAACATTCCCACATCATCCACCCCTAGAGGAGCAGACTCTCCTCTTCTCCGCGGCCAAGCGCCGTTGTATACCGGACAAATATGGCCTTCCAGGTCTCGATTCCTCGGCCGGTATCTCTTGACTCATTCCTTATTCTACATCTGAATTCCCATCACTGACTCCTTTTATCTGCACCTAGAGCGTCGCCGCGGTGACATCGGATCTTTGGCCCTCCATGTCTAACGTGCTCGCCGCTCCCTTCATGCGGGCCGCTGGCCGAACTCCGACAGGCGACGTGCGCGGCATTCGCCAGCAGTCTTCCTTGTCAGAGCAGAACGTGGCGGTATGTATTACTTCATCAAATTTGATTACATTGATGTCAGAATACTGACTTGAATAGACATCCCAGCGCGTGTCTTTGCCCGAATGCCTCGACACCGTCTCTCTGGAAGCGTTGAGAGCCGGTCTTGTGCACCGGTCTGCGCCGCGCGGGCTATCATCCATGTTGAGCGGAGGTAAGCAAGACTCTTTTGAGATGTCCCGAATCCATTCATATCTAACATGGAGCGTTTTGCCATAGGCACCACCTTCTGGGCCCCGTCAACCACCCCCACAGTTCGCGCTTTTGCATCCTCTACCACCCGATCCTATTCCACCTTGACACCCTTCCATCTCAGCAACCTCCGTGCGGCCCCGAAGATCAATGGACTCTCAAGACTTCAGCAGCAAAGATTCCTGTTCGGCGGCCCTTCACAGAACATGTTGGCCCAGAAGGAAAAGACCGCAAACAACAACCCGAACAGTGCAAACGCCCAGAACACATTCTACCAGGCTCTCCTCCGTGCAAATATGCCTGCGATTGTCGTGGAAAGATACCGGAGCGCTCAATTTGCGAGCAATGCCGCTTCTGAGGCAATCTATGCGAAGGCGTTGGAACGTGTTGGTGGTGTTGAATCTGGTGCCATCGCAGGTCAAAATCAGAATCTCAACTCGGATCAGCTTCAGGCCATCGGCCAAGCTGTCGCTGCTCGGTCTCATGGTGGTCAAATTGGCATGGCAAACAAGCCCAATGGTACTGGTGCCAAGGAGGCTCCTCTCTATGTCGTAGTGGAGGAGTCCCTGGGCAACACCGTCTTCCGCTGGGTCAAGTTCCTACTCATCTTTGGTTTCTTCACTTATCTGTCCCTCGTTCTGATTACCATCCTGGTTGAAACAACCGGAGTGTTGAAGAACATTCGTGGCACACAGAACAATGAGGCTCAGCCTGAGAAGCAGACTGTCCGTTTCAGCGATGTCCATGGCTGCGACGAGGCCAAGGATGAGCTGCAGGAGCTGGTTGAATTCCTACTGAACCCTGAACGTTTCTCCTCCCTCGGTGGCAAGCTCCCCAAGGGTGTTCTTTTGGTCGGTCCTCCCGGTACTGGTAAGACTCTCTTGGCTCGTGCTGTTGCTGGAGAAGCGGGTGTCCCCTTCTTCTACATGTCCGGTTCCGAGTTCGACGAGGTCTACGTCGGTGTTGGTGCCAAGCGTGTGCGTGACCTCTTCACTCAGGCTCGCGGCAAGTCTCCAGCCATCATCTTCATTGACGAGCTGGACGCCATAGGTGCGAAGCGAAATGAACGTGATGCCGCTTATGTGAAGCAGACCCTCAATCAGCTTTTGACCGAATTGGATGGTTTCTCCCAGACCAGCGGTGTCATCATCATTGGTGCTACCAACTACCCGCAGTTGCTGGACAAGGCCTTGACCCGACCCGGTCGTTTCGATCGCAAGGTTGTGGTCGGTCTTCCCGACGTGCGCGGCCGCATGGATATCTTGCGCCACCACATGAAGAACGTTCAGATTAGCACTGATGTCGACGTTGGTGTCATTGCCCGTGGTACCCCTGGCTTCTCTGGTGCTGATCTTGAGAACCTGGTTAACCAGGCTGCAATCCATGCCAGCCGCGATCGCAAGCCCAAGGTCGGTCCTCTGGACTTTGACTGGGCCAAGGATAAGATCATGATGGGTGCCGAGGCTCGCAGCCGTATCATCCAAGATAAGGATAAGCTTCTGACTGCCTACCACGAAGCTGGACATGCTCTGGTGGCTTACTTCTCACGATCCGCTACCCCATTGTATAAAATTACCATCGTTCCTCGAGGCATGGCCTTGGGTATCACTCACTTCCTTCCGGAGATGGACACCGTCTCCCGGAACTACACCGAGTATCTCTCCGACATCGACGTTGCCATGGGTGGCAAGGCTGCCGAAGAGATGATCTTCGGGCCGGACAACGTTACCAGTGGTATCTCAGCGGTAAGTTTTGTCTCATGCAATTACAGATAGTATGCGCCTATACTAACTCTCATCCCTCTAGGACATTCAACAAGCTACTGAAACTGCCTTCACCCTGGTCACCCGCTTCGGTTACTCCAAGAAGCTCGGCAACGTTGACCTGTCAACCAACTACGACAGCCTCTCCTCGGAAACCAAGCAAGAGATCGAAGGCGAAGTACGACGTCTTGTAGAGGAGGCCCGCGCTCGCGCAACCAAGATCCTCACCGAAAAGCGAAACGAGCTTGAAATTCTATCCAAAGCCCTGATCGAGTACGAGACTCTGACCAAGGACGAAATGGAAAAGGTTCTCCGCGGCGAGAAGCTTGACAAGATGGCTATCTCGCCCAGTGCGCCAATTAAGCTGCCGGATGCCCTGCAGGCAGCTGGATTGAACTCGACACCGGCAGCAGAGGTCCCCCCTACCGCGTCGGATTAAATCCGGCTCTCGCGCGTAGAGCGCCTGCCCCCTGCGGTGCTTGATTTTTCTCTCCTCTCTCAGTGCATGTCTCATCGTACTCACTTTTCTTTCGATCTTATTGCCTGGCCGTCTACTTTTTTTTTATCTTCGTTGTGCATTCCCGGATCGTTCGGGCGTCGATATTGAAAATACCATTTTCTTTTCCTCTATCACTTTATCTGGTCTCTTCTTCATCAATTTTCTTATTTTTTATCTCTGACTGTATCGTCTGTACATATAATATTGTATGCCTACCGCTAAATGAATTGAAAGCGAACTGTCTATCAATGCTGTGACTCGACCGTGTCGGACATCACCCCTAGTCTTAAGATTCGCATCCAGGAGTCAATTCGAGATTAGAGGTTCAAATGAAAGAGCGATTTACCTAACCTTTGCTCTAAGACTGCGACTCCATATAGACCACGACTAGCACAAAATATGACCTTTCCTTGAGTCATGTGAACTTTCTATACGCTGGTGAGGAACATCCAGAACGAGGGAAGTATATTTAGTTCCTCCATACACAAGGCTCCTACTTGATAGGCTATCTAGAGATAGCCCCTACAAGACGACGAACAAGAACAATCAAACCTAGCCATCCCTATCAAGTTCACCACGCACCCACCGATTTACACAATAGTACCTAGTTACCTACAATAGTAGTACCTGGTTACCTCTGTACAACACGACCTCCTTCCTGGGCACCGATTTCATTGGCAGGTCCCCCAGCCCGAACCCGACCAATCACCGAAACGTGCCCGCGTTCCGTAACCCGAGGGCCCGGGAAATGATGTCATCCCCAACGCGGGCCGATCATGGGGCGAGCTTGTGCCTGGTTCGTGGTTGGATTTGACGCCATTGGAATCAATATCCTGATGTTAGGGGTGTAAGTGGGACTCCGTTTTTTGGGGAGGGGGGGTGGGGGAAGTCAAGTCAGGATGACAACATTGGGTGGATTTGTGAGGATCTTGGTTGTACTCTAGCTGTAGATCGTACCTGTTTGCATCCGGGGGGGGGGGGGGGGTCGGCTGGAGACTAATGTGGCCTGTTTACAGTTTATATCGTTAAATCAGCAATTAGTGAAGCCATGCTATACATAGCGAGAGAAAATGATTTTGAAAATTTTTTAATCTGATTGTGGAGGCAATTCCGCTGTTATGTACACAAGTATGCACCTTGGCTCGACGCTCTCAGTGCGTCGAGCAAGGCAGTAGAAAATCAATGGTAGAGAAGAGCTCAAGATGGAGGAGAATGAAAAGAAACGCAACCGAGGGAGAAACAAGAGACAAGGCCCAGCTCTTCCCCTCAAGACTTCGTCGCTGGAAAACAGAGATAAGAAACACAACCATTCATCACGGTCATGAAAAAAAAAAAAATGAATAGCCGAGTCCGAAGTGGTCAGTTCGCCTGTAGAGGACAGAGCCTTTTATTCGGAAATGAGGGTCTCTAAATATGTATAGTGAAGTGGGAGATATGGAGTGGGAGATATATATGGAAATTTCCATATGTCCTCGAAATCACAGCCAGGATATGCGAACGAACAGAGAGAACGGGGGTGTGGGACGTGTGTTGAGGGAGGCGGGTATTTCATGGCATATTCTCTGTGTGGTGATGAGATGCAAGGGACAATCTCATTGTTGACTCAATCCCGGCTGTGGGCAGTGGCAAACTGGCTGGCAGTCGTGTCGAGCAGAAAATTGAAAATCGAAGATAAAAGTGGTATAGAGAAAATGCAGGTGATGGAGGGATGCGGGTGCGGGTTCATATTTATTCAACGTCGTCGTCCAACTCGGCCTTTTGCGCCATCCAACCCCGGGACATTTCGACGGCCTTAGACCACCGTTTGTACATGCGGACACTCTCCTTGGGCGTGATGTGAGGTTCAAAGGTGGCACGGTTGGCGCGGTTCATGTGCTTGAGATCAGAAAAGTCCTTCCACACTCCGATAGCGAAAGCGGCCGCGATTGCGGCGCCGAGGGCGGTAGTCTCGTGCATGGCGGGGCGTTCGACGGGGATTTGAATAATATCTGCTTGAGTCTGGAGGAAGAAGCAAAGTTAGTGATTAGAAAATCAAGGCTGAGAGGAAACGAGATCAAATCATACCTGCATGCAAATGTCGGAATTACTCATGCCACCATCCACGGCCAATTCCGTCAACTTCTTGCCACTGTCCATCTCCATGGCATCCAAGATGGCTTTCGTCTGGAAGCAAGCTGCCTCCATCGTTGCGCGAGCAATGTGCCCTCGTTGCGTGTGGTGAGTGATACCCCCTGGAAAACGTCGTTAGCGGCTGGTCATCCGGAGACACGAAAAATAGACTTACAAATCGTTCCCTGGGCATCATCAATCCAGTACGGCGCAAAGAGACCACTGAAAGCAGTCACGAACACACAGCCTCCACTGTCCGGCACAGTCGCGGCCAGATCACTGACCTTTCGCGAGTCACGGAAGAAGCCCATGTTGTTCATGAGGAAGGAAACACCACTGCCGGCCACGGCCACGCTACCCTCGAGGGCGTACACGGGTTTGCGATCCCGGCCCAGCTGGAATCCAACGGTGCCGAGCAGACCGTGCTTGGAAATGACGGGCTTTTCACCCACATTGTAGAGAAGGAAACATCCGGTGCCGTAGGTGTTCTTAGCGGAGCCGGGAGTAAAGGCGCAGTGGCCGACGAGTGCCGCGGCCTGGTCACCCAGGCAGCTGGTGATGGGGGTGCCCTCCAGGGGACCCTCGTAGATCTCACCGAAGCCCTCCGGGTCGGACGAGGGGAGAATATCCGGAAGACGAATCTTGTTGCGATCGATATCGAAGAACTTGAGGAGTCGGTCGTCGTACTGCAGGGTCTCGAGGTTCATGAACATGGTGCGTGAGGCGTTGGTGACGTCGGTGACCAAACGCCTGTTCTGAGGACCACCGTTCAGGTTGTAGATGAGCCAGGAATCCACGGTACCAAAGGCGGCCCGGCCGTCGTCATACGCCGATCGGACGTCGGGGAGGTTGTCCAGCATCCAACGCAACGTGACCGAGGAGGGGTATGTGGAGAGGGGTAGGCCACAGATGTTGACGAGATCTTCGGCACCGGGCTTCTCCTTAAGTTCACGGACTAGGTTCACCGTGCGTGTGTCGGTCCAAGTGATGGCATTGTGAAGAGGCTCTCCGGTCTCCCAGTCCCAGACTAGAGCGGTCTCTCGTTGACTGGTGATTCCGACGGCTTCAATGTCGGATCGGGAGTGGCCCAGAGCCAGGAATGATTTCATCGCCTCCTCAATGCAGATGTAGACCGACTCTACCAATTCATAGGGGTCTTGTTCGTGCCATCTGCATGTCAAAAGAGGGGGAAGATGGTTAATTGTGGGGGTTCGCTTTTCTTGAGGGTAGGGGAGAAAGTGGTAGTGGTGACCATGATCAAGGTAGAGATCATGGAGGAATAAATGGTTGGCAGTTGGAGGTCTGAGGGCTGGGGGGGGAAAGAATCTCGAGTCTCATTTACTTACCCAGGATGTTCGTGAATTTGACGGAATTCTGTTTGGTACTTTGCGATGGGAACGCCCGTGCAATCAAAGATAATAAAACGGGTGCTCGTCGTACCCTGATCGATCGTGCCAATAAAACGTTCTTTTAGATCGGACGGATGGTGCTCCTCATCCTGCAATAAAGCGCGCTCGCCATCATCGGTCTGATGCGGTCGGACGTCGACCTCAAACTCCAGATCTGTTGGGGGTTCGGAGTCACCGTCCACGCTGTTCTCGTCGAGATCAAAAGGATTGCGCATTGTGAAAGTGTGGGGGGGTGGTGTGTATGTATGTGAGGCGTCGGAGGAGAGGCGGAGAGTGTAGGAAGAGAGAGAATCCGAGACCGAGTGAGAGAGAGAGTGAGAGGGGGGGAGGGGAAAAGGTGGCGGACAAGTTTAAAAAAAAGTGTGGGGGAGGGAAACCCAAGGAAAGTATGACGATAGGCCGTGGGACGGGAATTGACCAGAGACACTGGCACGGAGGATCAACTAAGAATAATAATGATTATCGTCCTCTCCCTCTTTCTCTTCTGCTGGAGCCTCCTGTTCTCTACGTGGCGTGTAAGGTATTGGCAACGGATACGGGAGAGCTCCCAAGATCCCAGGCCAGCGAAGAAGGGAAAAAAAGTGGAGAGTGACGTACGAGGGGCGAAGGCAGAACAAGAACGAAATGCGAACCCGGTTCGCGTGTGCCAGGGAAGACGAGCGAGTTCTTATCCAAACGGGTGGGCCATGGAGAGATGATGGGATCAGTAGCCGGGGTGGAAACTCGGTCGCTATAGTTCCTCCCGTGGGAAGTTCCCTTCACAGGCCAAGGGCCCTTTTCGCAGCTCCTACGGAGCTCGTGGCTGCGTGGGCTTGCGGGAGGGAGAGAGGGAGAGAGGGAGAGTGGGGGTTGGACTCGAGTCTCTGGGTAAAGGTGGTCCTGGTAAATCCGGTTCATAGACCGTTTTTTTTTTTTTTTTTTTTTTTTGATCAGAAGACCTCGTCACTCCCCCCACTTTGTCTATCCTGGATGCACTAGAATTCTTCGTCCGTTCTTCGATCTTTCTTCTCTATAATCCCCTATTCCGTCGTATACGGATACAACGAATGGCATTCCCCGATATCCGATATACTTCCACCGTAATTCTTCAGCGGTTAATGCTCGTTGTCCCGGTTGCACGCTGATTGACACCACCATAATCATGACACGAACTATTCGTGACCATTACTCCAACCATGACAATCTGATATCCCCCGTTGAAGATCTATAGATAGCCAACCCCCTTTGGTCCAGTGAAAAACCCACCAAAGTGGTCCCCCTGCAAGTCGATCGGGGCACATGACACTCTCCATTTTTCCGGTCCCTTGGGCGTTCTAGACCTCGACTATTCGACCGAGTCGACTGTCTGCGACCCCCCCGATTCCTCCTTTTCAACGAATGCGCCAGCAACCGTCCCCTTGTCCTATTCACGGAAAAAATGCCACCGGAAGAATTATTCTCTGCTTCGAGGAAAAATAAACCATCCCACCCCCAACTTCAGCCACCCAAAGACTGGAATACAGTACACTCTTTCCCAGACTCCCGTCCGTGCTTCCGCATTCCTGGAGAAAATATAAATCAGAATGGGTCCATCGAACAATTTCCATTTTGCCGGGTCCCTTTCCTTCGGCGGTTAACTTGCCTGTCCCTGACGCCCTGGACCTGCACCGAGCGCCCAGATCCACTCGGCTCTGCACGCCCGAGCTTCCACGGCTTCCAATGGGTACGGTGTACAAACTCCAGCATAGCTTCCATCCTGACAGATACATTCTAGCAGTGCGGAGTGAGATACTTAAAGTTATAGTCCTTCTGGTCGCTCTCGACACCCCGGAGACTACAGTATCGAATAAACCTTTACCCCACACCCCAATTGAGCCCCTATCAGGTCGCCGTCGCGCTCGGGTGGTGACGTCTTGGATCCAGGTCTATAGAACGGACCGCTATCCAAAAGAAGACCCTACCAGTCGATTCGGTCTCATACTAGTATTCCGTAGCAAAGTACCAAATCCCCCTTGCCCCTTCCTAGTCATCCAGATATGCACAATTTACATCTACTGGTATGTACTTTCTCCCTCGCGGGAAACCCAGATCGCCGCCCAGGCTGCCAGGGACACGGACGTGCGCGTCCAGCAGATCACGCGATAAACAAAAATTATAACGAAGGCCGATCCTGCGGGAACGATCCTTAGTATCCGCATACCGTATCACTATATTCTAATTTCGTTTCGCTTTATAGTACATCTAATTATTGCATGCGGCGCGGGGGAATGGAGGATGATGGGGCCCGAGATGGGGGTCCAGAGTCTAGTCTACCAATCGGGGGGACGTGGTACGTGCTTCTCGGTTCACCTTCCCTGTTCGGTTGGGGACACCACCAACGTGCGTGAACGTCCCCTGCCGTTCGATAGTTGCTCAAGGCACATGATCACCTTTGTCTTTTCTCGTTAGCGCCCCCTCTTGCCCCTTTTTATTTTCATGGACAGTACTACTCCAGGGCATCTGAGATATGTATTTATTTCAATCCTGCCAAGTGGGATAGAATCAATAGTCAATTATAAATTCCGCAGAATTGATTGAGTGGGGACGATTGCAGTAACCCGGATATATAGCTTCCACTGCTTGGATCCCCGCCAAGAACCTAAAAACCATGGGCCAGGCCGGAATCAACAACAGCTTGGAGAAAATAGAATAAACGATAATAAACTCGGCCTCCATTGCAGTCAGGATCGACAAACGGGGTCTTAACCGGTCTTTGGTGTCTGGTCTCCCAAACCAGGGAAACTCGGCCTTCGTCGAGGTCCCCGCTTCTCGTCATCGGGAACCCGCCTGTGCGCCGTACACCTGGTGTTGCCGAATGATGAATCCGTGGTTAACTATCAGGTGCGGTCGTTCATAAGTCCTTGTGCCTTGGCTCCTTCTGATCTACTGGGTGTACGGTGCTTAATATAGGGTGGTATTTATTATATGGCTTAGCTAAGGCAATGCAATCAGGTACACGTGGGTTGCCAACGAGGGTTTAGAGCATACAGCATGGTTCTAGGCGTAGCTACGAACGTCGGTTACCTGTTATGTTGTATCGACTGGACATCCATATAAACCACTGAACCCTCCTCTCTATTCTTCTCAATTCTCCTCTTTTAACACAACAACTCAAACAAGACAAAGGAAATTCAATAAAGCTTCGGCCCTAGTGCGTTCTGCGTATAATCTACAGGAAATCACGGGGAATGCAAACAAGAGAGAACACGGGGGTGATCAAGTATCCTCTGTCCCCCCATACAAGTTGGTAAAGGGTTTTTTTTTCTGAACAGCTCAAAGGAGCTATCATTTGCTCAAAAAAAAGCCAGCAAAAAAAACATTTACTCCTCATCCTGACCGGACTCGGCCTTCTTGCGAGCCTCGGCCTCCTCCTTCTCCTTCTTCTGGAGGAAGATCAGAGCGTTGATCTTGTCCTTGATGGTGTGCTCGGAGACAATGCTCTGCTGGATCTGCTCACGGCCAACCAGGGTGGCGACGATGCTGGCACCGACGATGAAGGTCAGCACGAAGCGGTACATGCCGTACCAGTGAGGAGCACGGCCCGCAGCGGCAGCGCGAGCATCGTTGTAGTACAGGAAGGTGAAGGCCAGGAACTGGCTGATCAGGGCGTACTCCACGGGGAGCAGCAGAGTGGGCCAGGCAACGGCTGGGGCAATGACACCGGCGGCGTAACGGCGGTAGCCGAACTTACCACCGTAGCCAGCCCACTCAAGACCCCAGTGGATGGCACCGAGGAAGGAGAGGATCTATAATAGGCGCCAAGAAAAAAAACGTGATTAGCGGGTTGATATCATCAAAATCACACCTAGTGAAAGCTTCAGATTCTTTGGTAATAAGTTACTTACGACGGCACCATAGCCAACCTGGATGGGCTCCAGCATGTGCAGCATCAGCTCGGCGCTCTGGCCATTGAAGATCAGGCCATCACCGAGAGCGGCGGCGCGGTTGATCTCGTAGGAGAGGTAGACGGTCTGGAGGGAGGTGGCCAGGTAGGGAATGACACCGGCCATACCGAGAGCAAGAGCCTCCTTGGGGACTTCCTTCAAGCTGAAGGTGTCCTGGATGACTTTCTGTATCACGCATGCTTGATTAGTTTTGGTCCTTGGTGTACGGATATTTCCAATTGATCGAGAATATACGGGGATATACATACAGCCTCGGACTTCATACCGGCCATCATGTCGATGTCCTCACCCTCCTATGGGCGGGAAGGAAATATGTTAGCCATTGGACGTTCCACTTTGTTCGAACCCCCTGGATGCACGTCTTACCTTGCTAGAGGAAGACGCATAGCGGACGAGAGCAGTGGTGACGGGCTTGTGAGCGGCGAGCGCGAAGCTGGGCTTGACGGCCGGGCGGACGGCGCGAGCGGACGAGGTCAGCTGGGCCTTGAAGATAGGGTTGCCCAGAATAGAGCGAGTCACGGAGGCATTAGAGCTCGAGACAGCCCGGAGGGCGGAGCGAGCGGCGGTGGCACGGTAAAGCATGGCGGGGAGATATGCAGCTTTTTCATGGAGCAAGTCGGGTTAGCGATGTCGCGGGCCAACGAAAAGACCTCGGGTATGCCGACGGGGAGCTACCTACCCAATTGGTGTATAAAAGAGCTAGAGGGGAGATTGGTGAGTGGAGATGAGGGTATTCACCCGGAAAAAGACTCGAGATCGAAGTCGAGGAGGCCGTGGGATTCCGGAAGCAGAGCAAATCAGAATATCCCGAGATGAAGTGACCGAGTGGTGAGGTGTGGTCATCGGGCGGACCGTAGCGACCCGAGCCGCAGGTTTTCAGCCTGAGGCCCGAAGAGAGCTAGAGCCGGGGATCCCGTGATGATAGGATCACGTGATGGGGCTTGAGACTCCCGACTAACAACCCTAAGATCCTAGCCACTTTGAGCCACGCTTGAGCCACGAGCCACCCCAAGCAAGCCACTTGCCGACCACAGCACGGGACCGACGTCACTTTTGCGTTGGAGCAAGTTAGCCGTTGGCTCGTACAGTAAACAAGCGTACTCTTCAGTACAGTATCTATAGGGCTTCTTGTTCAATAGTAGTGAGCTCAAAAAATTATTAGGTAAATGAGGGATAATCAGTTTTTCAGAGTATGTATACTAATCAAACCGAACATTTATTAACCCTGACTTCATCAAAATGGGGCTATCGACGAGGAATTATCTGGTCCAGCGATAAACCCCCTTAGCTCACTACGTACCGCGACAATACCGCGTACCTAAGCCTGGCACCACCTGCGTAACCGGTTACAACTGTCGCAGACGCCCTCTCTTAATTCACGATTCACGCAATCAGGGCCATTAGCTTGGCTTAGATACCCAACATTCATCGGTCGCAACTTTGGCCTATTACTTCCTTCCTGCTTCAACGCCCCTCCCTGTATTCTATTCTCCCCACCGACAACCCCCCTCTCCCCCTCCACCGTTCAAGACCCCCGGTTTCCGCTCATCTCGGAGGTGGTTCCTTCCGCCTCGGTATCGCGTGCAGCCCAATCTGGCTTGAATGGCTTGGGCACCTTTGGATGAACCCCCAAGCTGAGAGAGTTCCTGTTGTCGTGTGAGATATGACCTGATCGGTTCCCCGTTATAGACCGCGTGTCTTCTACAAACAATCACTGACGTTGCACGGCTCCCAGAGCTAGGAAGTCCAACTGTTGATGCCCACCCACGCTGTTCAGCAATAGCGTTATTAACTCGCATACACCCCCCTTTCTTACCCAGGCCCGGTTAACGGCCGCCGACCGCAACCATGTTGGAGGGCCTGGTCGCCAACCTGCTCAATCGCTTTCTGGGCATCTACGTCAAGAACTTCGATGCAAAGCAGCTCAACATTGGAATTTGGTCGGGCGATGTGAAATTGCACAATCTCGAGCTGCGCCGCGAAGCGCTTGACCAGCTGCACTTGCCCTTGAACGTGGTCGAGGGCCACTTGGGTCAACTCACGTTATCGATCCCCTGGTCAAATTTGAGAGGCAAACCCGTCAAGGTCGATATCGAAGATGTGTTCTTGCTTGCAGCACCGAAGGAGGACGCGGATTACGACCCGAAGGAGGAAGATAAACGTGCGCATCGGCTGAAGATGGACAAAATCGAAAGCGCTGAACTTCTTCGCGAGCGAAACGCAGAAGGCATGAGCCAGGAGGAGCAGCGCCGGAATCAGAGCTTTACCCAGAGCATGATCACTGCAGTAGTGGATAACTTGCAGATCTCTATCAAGAATGTCCATTTCCGCTACGAGGACTCGATTGCTTCGCCTGGTCACCCATTCGCCGTGGGACTGACATTGAAAGAGCTCAGCGCTGTCAGCACCGACTCCCAATGGAACCCGACATTCATCCAGTCTACCTCAGACACAACACACAAATTAGCTGTTCTGGGGGCGCTCTCTGTATATTGGAACACCGATGCGATTCTTCTTGGTACTGGCCGAGGCTCTGATATTGGTGCAGATGCCCAAGGTATCTCTCACGATGACTTGATGGCTAAGCTACGCGATGCCATTGAGAATGGCGACGGTAATCAGTATATGCTTCGGCCCGTCAGCGGTCGCGCAGGCTTAGAAATGGATAAGTCTGGCAAACATGATCGCCCGGCCATGAAGGCTCGACTGCTCTTCGATGAGCTTGGCTTTGTTTTGGACGACAAACAGTACCGCGACGCCCTTATGCTCGTTGATTTATTCCACTACTTCATTCGCCATCAAGAGTACAAGCGTTTCCAGCCGAAATGCTCAGTGAAAGAGGATCCCCGTGCCTGGATGAAATTCGCTGGAGACGCCGTCTTAAGTAAGATTCATGACCGAAACCGACGATGGACTTGGGAGTATATCAAAGAGCGCAGAGACGATCGAATCGCGTACATCAACTTGTTTAAGAAAAAGAAGAGAGAAGAAGTACTCACGCCGGAGGAAACGAAGGAGTTAGACCGGATTGAGTACAAACTCAGCTACGAGGATATTCGTTTCTGGCGATCGCTCGCGCGAAATCAGCTACGCAAGGAAAATGTTGGTGTCAAGAAACCCGCTCAAAATCAATCATGGTCAGAATGGATTTGGGGTAGCAAACCAGCGGAGTCCGAGGAGACCGCCATGACCGACGAGCAGCGCCAGGAGCTCTATAATGCGATTGATTGGGACGAGAAGAAGGCACTCGCTGAGACTGTCGACGTTCCCCGAGAATGGGTCAAACTTCAAGTCAACTGGAGTCTGCGGGCTGGTAGCTTTACGCTGAAACAGGACCCCCACGGCGCAGCCAACGAGGTTATGAAGGTCGTGTTCGATAATTTCCGAGCCGAGGCTTTGCAACGCTCGGATTCGTACCTCTTGGATCTTGATCTCGGTGGTTTGAAGATGTATGACGGCACCACACCCGGGACTCTTTATCCCAAGATTGTGAAGGTTAAGGACTCCCTACCTGAATCGCCCAAGGATCAGAAGCCTACAGAAGATGATGAACTTGGCTCGGAAGCTAGTGCAGATAGTCTGGTCGACGAGGACAGCCTGTTTCACCTGCAGTTGGAGAAGAACCCGCTGGACAGCGATGCGGATACCGCCGTCAAGGTCAAGCTCAAGAGTATCGAGGTTATCTACAATCCTCGATTTATCGTGGGAATCGCAAAGTTCTTCGAACCCCCACAACGGCACATGGAGTCGATCGGGGCGCTGTTGGACACCGCAGGGGCCACCGTGGAAGGTCTGAGGCAGCAAACCCGAGCAGGCTTGGAATTTGCCTTGCAAGAGCACAAGAAGGTCGATGCGCAATTCGACGTGCATGCTCCGTTGATCATCGTTCCTGAAAGCATCACCCAAGAAAGCTCTCTCTGTCTGATTCTCGATGCCGGTCATGCTAGTGTCAACAGTGAGTTGGTCGACCGACAGGCTATGAACGATCTGCAAACCAAGCAAAAGCGACAGTACGAGGAAGAAGACTATAAGCAGCTTGAACATCTCTTGTACGATCGCTTCCTGATCAAACTGGACTCCACTCAAGTTCTGATTGGACCTGGCGTGGATGCGACCAAGGCGCAACTCATTTCCGGTGTGGAGTCGAAGAACTTCCATATCATTGACCGCATCAATGTAGACTTTGTGCTGGAGATGTGCATTGTACCCAAGGTGACGCAGCTCACCCGGACGCGAATCTCAGGAAACCTGCCAGAGCTGCACGCATCCATGTCTGACACCAAGTACAAGGGTCTCATGAAGTTAATAGATATTGCCATCCCGCACTTTGATGAAGACAAGGAAACCCCCGAAGATATCGCCAAGGCAAAGGCCGCCGCCGAGGAGGCTGCGATCGTCACAAGAGCTAGATCGGCGTCCTTCCAACCCCCTGCCACACGGGACCTCCCAGTCGTCGACGAAGATGAAGACGCAGAGACAGGATCCGAAACCGATCACTCCAAGAAAAGCTTGCACTCGACGATCAACATTCACCGTCGAGACTTTGAGTTCAAGTTCCATGTTGGCCGACTTCGCGGTTCGCTATTCCGTGCTGACTCCCACGACCCGCAAAAAGATAGATTGCTTGTGGAACTGGTGGCCGAAGACTTTGGGCTCGACTTCTACATGCGCCCCTATGACATGGTGGCAGAGGTCATCTTGAAGTCCTTGAGTGTGGATGACTACATCGAGGAAAACCCCGTACCGGAATTCAAGCGAATCATTTCGTCCAAGGGTTTCAATGCGGACGAGAACAACGATCTTTTCCACCTGAAGATGGTTCGGGTCAAGCCCGAGTCTCCTGAACTTGAATCGACGTATGAGGGCATTGCCATGAATCTCGACATATCTGTCTCAACCATCAATCTTGTCGTGACCAGAAAGACACTTCTCACGCTTCTTGACTTCATTCTTCTCACATTCACCAACCCACAGCAGCCGGATGATCAAAAACAGCAGCTAGATAAGGCCTTGCCCGAGGCGGCCGATGCGGAGCAGCAGCCTCAGCAAGCTGGCAAACTCCGTATCAAGTCCAACCTGAAGAGTATTGCCTTGATTCTCAACAATGACGGCGTTAGATTGGCGACCCTCAGTCTTAACACAGCCGATGTTGGTATCTTCCTCGTGGGCCGCGCCATGATCATTCAATCCCGAATTGGTAGCTTGACCTTGGTCGACGATGTCAACATGGGTGCATCGGAAGAATCAGATGTTCGACGTCTCCTGACCATTGAAGGTGACAATTTTGCGGACTTCAAGTACGAGACTTTCGATCCCGATAGCGACACACACCCTGGCTATGACTCTGAAGTCTACCTGCGGTCTGGTTCTATTAAGATCAACTTCCTCGAGGAGCCATACCGGAAGATCATCAATTTCCTAGTCAAATTTGGCAAGATGCAAGCAATTTTCAACGCTGCTCGCCAAGCAGCTGCAAATCAGGCCAACCAACTTCAAGATAATCAGTCTCGCATGCGCTTCGACATTGTGGTCAAGACTCCCATTGTGGTGTTCCCACGAGTAATGGCAGAAGATCGATCCAGGGATAACATCACTGCTTACCTCGGAGAGATCTACGTCAAGAATGAGTTCGTCCCCATGGATGACTCCAAGGATAGCCCCGCTGTCAATGTGATCTCCACTGGTGTACGCAATATTCGTCTCACGTCTAAATTCCACTATGAGGATGATGTGGTGGAAGAGCTCGAGATGATCCAGAAGGTCAATCTCGATTTTAGCATCTGTCATCTGGAACACCAGGCCAATAATCCACGCCCTGATATGGAGATTGAGGGCTCTTTGTCTCCCATCAACCTTCGAATCTCGCAAAGCCAGCTGAAGGTTTTGCTAGCTCTGTCCAAGTCTATCCCGGGAGCATTTGCAACTGATACCGAGCAGCAAGAGCTTGAAGCCATGGAGTCATTGCCATCTTCAGTGACCGAACCTACCAGAGAAGCGACTTCGAAGGCTGGGCAATCGGAGACGGATCAAGAAGGATCAGCCGTTGATGCAAATGCAGGCAAAGAAACATGGGTC